CAACCATACCTTTTTGTCCCACTGCTGATGTAAATAACGCAAAAGTATATTTGTTTTCTCTGTTACTATGACTGCCAAGGAAAAAGAGGAACAYGCTGAAGTCATTCTAAAAACAACTTTTAAAGCTTCAACAGTAACATCACTCTCCCATGCTACAGCCTGGTCCTTTTGCAATACAAGGACAGCATTCAAGAACAACCATCACTTGTTAAGGATGGGGAAAAAAACCCACAAAACCTAATAAYCAACGTTGATCCTTGTGGCAACGGTTTAGTAGCATTATCTGATCTGGCATTTAAAATTAGTGAAATTACAGGTACAACAGTTTTTTAATATTTGAACAGAGCAGAGTTTAAAAAACTTCAGACTTACTTTGTTCAGACGGATATTCTCTTGTGGGAAGATATACCGAAGGTCTTCTGTTCTATAGAAGAATTAAAATAATTACAAAGCAGACAAAAGCAGGCAAAGACAGGGAAAATAACATTTTCACTTAAACTTAGCTAAGCAACCCCACTAACCACAACCACAAATGCTGTGATAGCCTGTCCTGTTACACAATACTGTGAAGCTTCAGTCTTTTCTGTATGTTAAAAAAGTCCATTCATCACGTTTCTCAGACTATTGCTAAACTAAAGAATTACACAGAAAGGAAAGAAAACATCACAGATTTGGCTTGGCTGATGTGGCGATGTATCCCTCACCAAAGCAGGCAGGAAGGATTTTTTTGCCAATCTCAACTTATGAGCTACCAGCTATATGCACACATATTTTTGAAGGAACAAAACGTTCATTTAAAGTCTGTTCCACTCTAGCATCTCTAGAGCTGGGCAAGAAAACGACTCCCCAGGCACAAAGAGGTTACAGAGTAGATTCGATACTTACTGATGCTTTACATACAGAGTCTGCATGAAATCTACTGAAGTTGCTTTTGTTGTAGACTGGTAATCCTTTCAAAAAATCTGCCTAAAAAGAGACAGAGCACAAAGATGTAGGGGGAGAAGGAAAGAGYGACAGTCTGGTTGTTTGCTTTGTGCTGATTGCCAAAGGGGTTAGAAAGGTCATTAAATTAAGTAACTGTAGGATTTCAGAGGGTGCTGCCAGGTCCTCTACAGCGAGATAGCTGAAAAAAGGCCAGAGCTGTTTCTGTGAAGTGGATAAATCCACAGTTTCTGTGTTTGCCTCCTTACTTACTCTGCAAGCTCACAAACTGAGGAGGAGTTGTTCACTGAATCCCTTCTGRCATAAAAGATGCAAGACATAAAAGACAGACATCTCTCCAGGAGGCTGAGCTCTGAAACACGAAGTTCTGCTGACCACAGGCCCCGAGCACCACAATTTACCCCAAGTAACCAGCACAAAGCAGGGCATCGCACGCTGCACCCTGCCACGGCTACGGTGGTGACCGAAACCCTGGCACACCACCCAGCATCAGACTGGCTGCTCTTTTGTTTTCCAAGGCAATACTCTGGCACGGACCAAGAACGATGCTACGAAGCAGAAGGAAAAGTCCACATGGCCTCCAAAGCCTGACCACACACATATTAGCCCTGTCCAACTTTTTCTTTGAAGGATAAAGCCCTCGATGCCTCCGTGGCTACCGGTACAGCACAGAAATCCCAAGTTTTGATGGCAGGCTAGTTAGATCCCACTCAGTAGAAGGGGTGGAAAGCACATGCTGGCAAGGCTCTGTGCTAACGAGCAGCGGGAACCCTGCTGAGCTCTCTTGCTTTAATTAAGACGTACCAGCATGAAACAGAAAGTTCCTTCTCGCAGGCGAAAACGGAAGGTGGGAGGAGAACACGATGGGATGATGAGAAGCCCAGGCTCAAAGGCGCGTTGGAGCCTCCTGGCCCAGCGCAGAGGCGAGGGAAGGTGCCTTACCGTGTAACGAGCAGTAAATGTCACACACCCCTGCRTGGCGCGCAGGAGAGACGGCCCCGAGACAGCCCTGCTAGTTCAACACACCAACTACCYGCGTGGCAGTGCTCGCCTGAAGGCTCAAACCCCTACTAAACACTAAAGGATTCTCAGCCAAGAAAGAAATGTCCTTGTTTATAGGTGATTTGCTGAACAAAAAAAGAAATTAAGGTAGRATCTCCTGGCTCTGCTGCAGCAGAAGCATTTACTTTCAGAGCACACTGGCTCCCAGGCCCCCGGAGGCAGGTTTATCTGTTATCTGCTCTCATTCATGTCTCTCSTTGGCACCACGTGCTCCACCTGAACACTCCTTGGCCGAGAGGGATGGGGAACAACGGGAGCAGGATGTAAACCCCATGCAGAGACCCGGTGCAGGAAGGTCGCCAGTCACCCCACACAACATGCGGGGCGTGCAGCTCTGCGGCCGCCACCACCGGGCCAGAAGTCCAGAAGTCACCCGAGTGCATCAGTTCCAGCACGCACTGATAAGTCCCAACTCTGCTAGCAGCAAAGAGCAGCGACAGGAAAGGGAGGGCTGGACATCTATCCAGGTCAGGCGACAGTCGTCGCCTCAGGAATTCCCATCAGTTCATCCCAAATTCTTTCCAGTTCCCGCACTAACCAGAGCATGCAGAACGACACATTCCAGCAGTTATCTGATAAGATCCCGGAGATTAGGAAAAGGTCCCTGTGTGGCAGGGGAGCTGCCAGAAGAGGCATGCCTGGATATTCAGAACTAGACAATACGCACAGCCAACACGATCCTTATCTGCTCCAAGGGCACAAGACAAATAAGACACAGGGGGTCACTGTGTGTTTACACAGCTCTCACACAAGTAAGGCCTCCAATATAGAGTTACAGGAAGAAACTTGTCCCTCTGTCTGCCTTCTGCTATTCTTTAACTAAAGGATGGATCCCCAGGCCAGAGAGCGAAGCTGAAGCAGTGTTTGGGTGGAAATGAAGAGAAATACTCCCCAAACTGAGCATAGCTGCCTCGTTTCCTCCGGGGAAACCCTAAAAGCAACCAAACCAACGTGACTGGGCAACCTAATTAGACAATATAGGTTCAGTCTATGACTTAATAGGGAGATTCAGATAAGATGCATCTACTGCTCCTGTGGTGACAAGGCCGTTCACAGGATCCTCATCTAGAGGCAGAGAGATGAGAAAAAAGAACAAAGCAAATCAAATAGACAAAAATAGATATCTGTCTGTCACATTCTTGGTCTCTCAAAGGATTTGCAGCTCGAAGCTGGGAGGCCCGGGGCGCAGATGCTGAAAGCAGAGCTCTACCCCAGCACGGGGCCCGTTTGTGTGGGTGTGAGGCAGAGGAAAACCACCGAGAGCAGCCCAGGAGCAGCCGCGGAGGCCCGCGGCCACAGTGCGTGCACGAGGGGCGCGCAGGGACGAAGAGGGGGGCGCGGGGACGCCAGGCATCCCCTCGGCTTACGGGGCTGCTGGAGGAAAAGCCTCTTCCTGCAAAAACGATGATGTCACTTCAAGAAGGGAGAGCGAGGCAGGAACCTCCCGCCCGAGGGACAAGYACCAGGAGCTCCCAGGCACCAAATTCAGCACCAACGGTTATTTAGGGGGGCACAAAGCGGCCTGAGAAGCCCCCAAGCTCCATGCTGCTGCCCAAGGAGATGGAAACACCCTGCACCCGGGGGGACTCAAACTGCCCCTTCTGTCCTCCAGGTTTGGGGGTTAATAAACACCCCCCACACCCCTTGGTGTCTCCAACATTATGGCAGGGCACAAGCCCCCACCCTGGGGTGCCCCAGCTGCCCCCCCACCTAACAGAGCCCCAGTCCCATGGAAACCACAACACTGGGGGRCATGGAACCCCCCTCTTTGGGATACCCCTGTCCTGCACAGACTCCAGCCCTGGGGAAGAAGAACCCCCCGTTTGGGGGAGCCCCGGGCGTGGGGATCCCCCCCCCCACCACCACC